AATTTAACATTAATCATAAACAAATTTTGACACATCAAAAAAATTGAATTTTTAACGACTTCAATAAGAAACAAATACATTGATTATTCCAAGTTATGTTTATAGCACTATTGCCAATCAAATTATACTACATTATTGAAAAATAATTATATCATATTATATTAAATTTTGACCAAGAAGGAATATTTTGGCATTTTAAATTTAGTGCATATTGGATATATGAAATTGACATTTACTATTTTTAAATGAAATGCAATGTATACGCATTTTGGCGTGAAAAGTAATTTAAAAAACAATAATTATTATTGTTAGGTATACGGTAAATATTAGTATATGTAGGATATTAAAAAAGAAATTAAAATTGTAGGTATATATAATATATATGAGATTTTTTGAGCTTAGCAAAAGCTCAATTTCACATTAAAAAAATTAGTTTTATCAAGGGTTGTCTAACTCAAACTTTTTATTTTCAATTTATTGTATAAATTTCTTAATTTTTTTAAATGCAAGTTTGAAAAATACATGCATGCAACCCTCTATTATCACCCTCCTACCACTCTTCCAAGTTTTATTAATCATTATTAATCTGATTGATAACTGGTCAATTATTGGTTTTTTGTGTACGTTTTTCACAGAATTTCGATTCAGATTTTTCAAGTTTTATGAAAAAACTTGATTTAACAAAAAAAATTTACAAGTCATTTTTTTTTATAATAATAATATTTTTCATGGTAAATATAAGGTAGGCCGAGGGTAAAAAGGTTCATAAATACATCGGATAGATAAATTCCTACGAATAGCATAGCGTTGCCATAACATTTCCATTTTTTTATCCGAGGATTGGCACCTAAAGTTGATTGAAAAATAAACTTATCCAAGATATCTTCGGCCAATTTTTATCAAACGTGTCAGTTTTTTCTAAATATTTAATAACCGTGAGATGTCGTATAATGGATTGGTATTGTGTATTAAGATGATAACTTTTATTTTATGATGTCTTGGGAGAAGCAAACGAGCGTCCTTTTGGACCATTTTGTAGCTTCAGACGCCGCACCGCAATGCATTCATTTTTATGACATCTCGTATCGGAAGAGCAAAAGTATAATCTTAACGCTTGCGCATTCAAATATGTATATATATATATATATATATATATACATATATATAATATATATATATATAAACTATAGCAGTCCTGGAATATTTGAACAGATGCAATGTGCATGACGAATTAATCCCCTGAGGTTCGGCTAAGGTACTTTCTAGAAAAGTACACGTCGCATATTTACATGTAATATATTACTATATATGTCATACGCAGAAAGCTCTATTTTATATTGCATCAAGATTTTCCGACGTTTCAATGTCTTCTTCCTGTGGGACTATTTGAAGATTAAAAACTATTACAACCAAATCTTTTATTATTATTCAAATTGTAATTTAGATGTACTTGATACCATACTAAATGAGATATGAAAGATTTAAAAAATTTATTTACTAAAAAATATATTAAATTTTTATGATAATTGAATTATTGGTAATCATTTTTACCATATACGCGTAGAAAGTTTCTATTAGAAATATCAGTTTTTTTAATAATGATTCGAAGGTTTTGCAATTAAATTCATAATATATTGCGTCTGATGACTCTATAAACCAGAAAAGAGAAGACTAAAAAAATTATGGCCAATTAATTTGATCTAGTAAAATTCATCACATGGTTCATACCCTCTGGGGTAACTACCAACCTGATTGTTATTAAAAAAAAATTAATGAAATCTTTTACATACGTCAATTCCATTATAGTCGACCTGAAAATGCTAGTCAAAGTTAATAGGTAAACACATTCTTGTTAATCTTGGCCAACTTACCTGGAAAGCTACGGGTGCCCTTTGTGAACCAGATATCTGCGTGATATCAAGTTGTTAGGTGCTTTAGTAAATGGCGTGATAATAACTCATAAAGATTCCAGACTAAATTTTATAGTTTGGCGTGGACTCAATTTATATTGTTTTGACCGGTAAATAAGCGATCTAATTGATTATTTGTGCCTATATAATTCAATGTCTTCTTTGACTTCGAATCACGAAGAAATGTGCATATAAACGTATACAAACACGATACTTTATAATAAGTATAAATATATAATATAAATATGATAATATATATATATATCTATAAATATATATATAATATATATATTAGGGTGGTCCTTAAAATGGTCATTTCGAATTTCAGGGTCAAATGGTTCCAAAATGGTAAAAAACAATTCTGAAAGTTTAGTCTTTAATATTAACGTTTAGATAGAGCGCAATTCATCAAAGTTGTATGGAAAGAGCATGACTTTTTTGAAAATTAAAAAGGTTTGGTATAACTTAGCGACAAGAATGAGTTTTATTCATTCATTTGTTCGCTAAATTTAAAAAATTTTAAATTTTTGAAATTTTTCCATGCTATTTCCATAGTATTGCGCTCTATCTATTATATTAAAGCTAAATTTTCAGATTTTTTATCTATTTGGAACCATTTGAGCTTCTGAGCAGGAAATTCGAAAATGACCATTTAAGGACCATAATATATATATATATATTAGGGTGGTCTTAACAAGGACTTTTCGAATTTCTTTGCTACAAGGGCGCCAATGCTTCTAAATTAATAAAAAATGAATCTGTAATAGTATTAGCTCTTATATAAACATTTAGATAGAGCGCATGCCAATGAAAGTTTCTTATATTGTTATTACATACATCATTAAGTAAATTTTTGTGCATCTGTATAGTATCGTGAACTCAAATATTATGACACATAAGCATATTTATAAACCTTCTACCTTCAAATATCTACCTTCATGCATCCATTAATAATAGCAAAAAAGTTATCAAGATTATGATTTTTTTTTTAATATTTTTTTATATTTTTAATTACAATCTGTCACACTTGAGACATTGAGTAATTGTTTCGACATTTTATTAAGATGTATGAAATTGATTAAAAGGTATTGAAACGGAAAGATATTGTGAAAGGTATATTTTCGAGTTTTTCTTTATTTCACACAAAGTTAATGAAACGTTAAAATTTTGCGTTCGATATACTATTAATGTTTTCCTCATCAAAAAAAGTTCGAAATTCATGCATACGATATGTCATAAAAGGCGAATCCACCTTTTTGATGTGTTTTACCTCTGGCGACGATCGCACCTTCGTACCAGAAACGGCACTAAAACTTTAACAGCTTTTCTGTAAAACGTCAGAATAATGGAATGGGTATCAAAGGGTTCTACTTTATGGTCGACACATCAGTTTTACTTGTTTATTTATTGTAAGGTCGTTTGCAAAACTACGCTACTAAAAATAAACACATGTAATCATCAAAGATTCGACCAAATTTCTCGTAACGCAATAGTTTTTGATGAAAGTCTATTTTAATTCATTACAAACAAGCCGTTAATTAGTTTCAGTAATTAATTTATGGCGAAAACAGAACACACAGGTTGTGTAACATGTGATGGAGTTTGAACAAACTTAGAGGATAATTAGCTTTCAAAATTTTGTTCATGATAAATTATTTTTCATTATACAAAATTACACTCTTTACAGTGTCCTTTGCCTTTTACCTTTTGCATAATTTATTGTGCAAAATTCATACATGTTTTTATTCTCATTGATTGATTTTTAAAATCTTATACATGATAAATAATAAATGATCAATTTGGTATAAATTAGGAATGCAATGGTATTCTTAAATTATGGATCTATCTTCGTATGAGTTGGTAGTAACAAGCTGTCAAAAAGCCATCTATTTATTTGCTCAGGTTTTTTACACTCAAAGCCTAACCTACAAAACGCACAAACGCTTTCTGTTATATCATAAGTGCAACTTTCTGATGTCTCATTGACGACAAACATATGAAGTTAGGTTTTATGTATAAAACGCCTTATTGCACAGCACAATACAGAACTTTTTGGCAGTTTGTTATTACCAACTCATACGAAGATAGATCCGTAACATATCATTTTCATATAATTGCAATTTTATCCCTGAATTGGTCCCTGAATTGGTCCCTGAATTTCTATTATAATTTTTTTTAATTTACAGCAACACTACAAAACAATTCGTATTATTATTCATTCATTATTATTATATTTTATTAAAATTCAATATACGTAATATATTCAATAGTAATAATTCGATATTTTAATCTGCATTGAGCCACATAATATTATAAATGAATTTTAACCCCTTGCACACCATTGACGCCTTATTAGCCTCATTTTAATATGGAGTTTTTGAAATATTGGAGTGCAAAGGGTTACTAGTTATATATTTATTTTAAAATTATGGTTACGATATAGAATGAAAAATTATATTTTATACAACGAGTTGGAGGAAAATATATTTTTTATATTTTTTTATATTTTAAATAAATAAATTTAAATATAAAATATATTTATAAATACGTAATAACTGCACTCATAGTTATTTGTTGGCTTTCGAAGTATTATTCATAAAATCTTATTTTGTAATTCACTTTTTTGTATTTTTTTAAATTAATATCACATCCATCATTTTTAGATTTTTTAAGAAATCATTAATAATTTTTCAACTTCTATCGTTTATATTTTATCTAATTGATGTGGGAAATCCCTAACTTTAGATAAGAAAGAGAAACAACGTTTTTTTTACATTTTTTTGTAAATGTTTTTAAAAAATTATATCGACGCTAGTTATTTTTAGATTTTTTAAGTAATTATATACATTTGTTATACATTTATTGAATATCGTTTATACAATATCTGATGTTTTTCCCTTACTTTCAGATTTTCAAAAATTAGAAAAAGAATCAACAATTTATTATACTGTTTGTTTCATAAAATATTTTAAAAATTTATATCGGCGTTAGTCATTTTTAGATTTTTTAAGTAAGCATATACATTTGTTATACATCTATTGAATATCGTTTATATTTTATCTAATTAATGTATTTTTCCCTTACTTTCAGATTTTCAAAAATTAGAAAGAGAAGCAAGAATTTGTCGAAAACTTCAACATCCAAATATAGGTGAGTACGGCACGCATAAAATGTTCAAAATTTAATTGTAACAACTAATAGTTTTATTGTATTTCTTACTTATATTTTTATTAATACACATTTAGTTTCATATTTTTTTTCACAAAATTTTTATGCTTAAATTTCTGACGACATTTATATATACAAACTAAGGCCCAATATAATTTTTAGCGGAGTCCTTGGTTTTTTCTAACTCATATATCTTATATGTATATATTTCTATATTTTTAAATATATTACTACATAAATATTTTATTCTAATAATAATTTCTATAACTAATATCCGTTGTAAATTCATGTTTTATACAAATTATAATTCACACCTAACGACTTGATTTCTATGTCTTTATAAAGTTTGGCCCGCTGAAGTTCTGACGTACTTAGGTAATAATATAATTCGAATTAATTGTATAAAAATTAACGCATTCAGGGAGCATTTTTTTATAATCGCAATACTTAATTCAGATTATTCAATGAATATAAATTTTATTATTTATTTTCAAAAAATATTGGAAGAATATTTCGTCGTTTTTATCGATGTAATTTGATGGAGTGATTTTTATTTGTTAATCGTGTTATATTTTCACAAATTTTTACTAAATTTTATTTCTACATGTGATTTCCGATTAATGTGTTAATTATTTTACTAGAAAAGTCAAAATTGAGGAAAATACTGTTCAAGTTACTTATAAACAAATTAAGGGGTCAATTCTCCATACAATAGAAATATTACAGCAAGACTGTGTTACGGTAGTTTTTTCATATAAATTGGTATTAAAAACTGTCAAAATGCTATGTATTTGCTGATATCAGACGTCTTACACATAAGACCTAACTTCACGTATGTGTTATTAATGACACATCAGAAACATGCAGTTATGATAATTTTCAAATGACGTTTGTGCACTTTTTGCTTTAGGTTTTATATCTGAAATATAAAATAGAAAATACATAGCATCTTGACAGTTTTTACTGCTAATTTATATGAAGAAAGAATCGTTGCCATAACAACGCTATGTGAAAATAATATTTTATTGGAAAATTGGACCCTAAATTTTTGATTTTTAGTAATTTTGATCAGTTAGTGAAACAACTTTTATTTAAGTTTAAGAATTTTATTGTTTTTTTTTTCATTTCCAAGAAATACAACTGATTGCGAGAACATTTAGTACATATAAGGACATACATTTTAAACTTAAGTACATAAAATTTTATTGAAATCTATCAATTATCTATTACCAAACTTGACAATTTTCATAGATTTGATGCAGAAAACGTTTATAATAAATATTAAAAAAATAGTTAGATTTTTTTATGTTCAGTAGCTGTAAAGATAATATTTATATATCATTATACATAAATGCATACGCATATAATAAATATACGTATGATGTGTATTTATTTTTATTTATTCATATACCTAACCTTATACATGTGTATATGTGTCTATTTCAATTTAATTACTTTCATTTCTTTCAATTATTTTAAACTCTCATTATTTATATCATTTAAAACTCCAATGCTGAATATTTAATTCTATATATTATTAAATTATTCTCCAGTTTTGCCTTTTCGCTATATATTTCCTCGATTTATTTCTATTTTAATTTTTGTGATCTATAATGAATGGCCACTGAATGCTATGTATCGTAAAATTGTGACGTCCTTTTATTTCTTAATATATATTTATATTGCATTTATTCAACATTTGTGAGCTTTGTTCGATTTTCTATTTATTCTAATTAATATATAACCAAAAATATTTTATTCTTTAAAGTCGTCACAACTATTGCGGCTTTTTATTCATTTCTTATTATTTGCATGCTGTCATATTTTTCTACATATGTATATCGAATCATTTTATACCCTGTTTTTTTAAATTAGTTATTTTTGAATACTATCTTTATTATTTGTTCATGTATCCTCATAAGCATATTTATATCATTCTGTTTTTTCAAATGTGTAATTGTATTTATATAAAATTTATCTAAGTATCTATAAAATTTATATCTTGTATATATATAGATTACGTTTTTCGGTATTAACTAGGGAATGCAATACCGATAAAATTATTCGTTGTCGGTATTTTTAGTAAACCGGTATTTTCGGTAAACCGGTATTATTACAACTTCGAAAAATGTGAACTAAATTAAAAGTAACTTGAACAAATATAAAAAATGAACCTAACATAAAATAAAATAATTATTTTGTTCATTTTGAGTAATTATGGTATAGAATATTTTGGCGATGTCACTAAAAAAATCGTTACAATTTTTAAATATTGGAAATAAACATCATTATTTAGTAGTCAGATTTTATTCATTATGACACGATATGAAGTTTTCTGGCAAGCAATAAATATTTAGTTTAATGACGAGTCGAGATAATTTTTTGACACATGTTGAACGACCTAAAAGTATATTTTTTTAAAGGAAAAACTCAAGCTCGAGTGTAACATGTATCAACTAGCACTTATGTTTCAATACCGAAAATACCAATATTTTTAAAGTAAATACCGGTATTAATACCGCCGAAAGTTTATACAGCATACCGGTTTTTGGGTATAACCGATATTGCATTCCCTAGTATTAACCCATATTAGACCAATATTTTCTACTATTTTTTTCAATTAAATTTTTAATAGAGAATATTACTTATTTTCTATTAATATTAAAGGTGCAGCAAATTGATTTCTAATTTTTTAGCTTATTACTGTAAGAATTTATCGCATAATTTATTTTTATTAATAGAATAAATATAAAAATGAACTGCAATTCCAGAAATATAACACACCATCAGGTTTATATTTTAAATTTAAATATATTTAGATAAAATAGAGCAAGTTGCTAGGAGAATCATCAATGATTTAAAAAGGATAACTTTTTTAATTTCATGATTTAACTGTGAACAAATAAATCGGTAGTTAAGGATATTAATTTACTAATTTAATTTGTTTTTTTTTATTTTTTTTTTGTTTAATTGAACTAATTTTCAATTTGTTCTGAATTTTCCATTCTTAATTCTAGAAAGCTATATAAATTGTCAATTTGTTAAAAAAACTTACAATAATGCTTAAATAAATAATTAGCAAGTATCAAATCACGATTATTTTAATCTGGATAATATGGGTTAAAAGTCTATGCATGATAAATATTCAATATATTATAAAGTTTGTATCTTGTTTGTCCGCACTTTTGTTTTTGCAATAATTCTATATTCAATATCTGATATGAAAAACAAAACTTTACTACCATTTTGTACTAATTAATAGTAATCAACATATTTTTGTTTACTGAAACTTTTGTATTAGGAATAATGAACACTTGAAAAAATTTTGTTCCTAATGCTGATCGATTTCCTTCTAACTGAGGATTTTCTCACATTTACAATATTTGTCTTATTTGTGTTAAGACTTTTTACATACGAGTAATATTTGTAACTTAACTTATATAATCATGTTTTACGCATATTTAATTCTTCTTTTCAGTACGACTACATGACAGCATTCAAGAGGAAAATTTTCACTACCTAGTATTCGATCTGTGAGTATATTTTACTTTTTTTTAAACTAGAAATATCGTATTTGCTTGTGTGATTTTTGAACTTGTATTAAAAAAGGTAAAGCGTAGAGAAAAAAATGGATGCATATACCTGCATGCATAAATAATCGTTAATATTATACTTATTATACATATTGCTTATGTGTTTTAGTCAATTTTTTTAATCATTAAGAAATTCACCGAATGTTTTACTACTTTATATCATGTTTTTAAATACGAGCATACAATATGTCTACGCATAAATTAACAAATTTTTATGAGAAAAACATTAAGATCTAGAAAATCTTTCAGAAGAACCACATTAGAAATCATGCGTCAGATGTTGGCGTCATTGTCACAGTCTCCTCGCTGTGATCAGTTCAAACGTAAATCGCACCTTCAAAAGTTCATTTTGAGGGTGATTTTCTCATGTTATTTGCGGACTTGTTTATTGATATTTGTAATTTATGCCAGCACTGGTGGTTTTGATCAATTTTATTCTATTAATCAGGTGAGCGGAATCAGGAATTTTAATTATTTATTTATTTTGGTTCAGTTTTGGACATAATGGCATGTTTATACAATGGGCAAAATAAGTACCATACTACAGGGCAGTTCATTCAATGCAAAAAAAATTAAACCTGTGTGATTGTCTACTCTAACTACTTCTGAAAACATACCAAAGATCCACAAGTAAAAATAAGATACTTGTTTTTATTGCAAAGATCTCTTTTCCAATTCGGGGCCCGGCGAAAGTTGGTTACGGTGTAAGATTTATTCTTTTTGGACTTATGCTTCAGATGCTGATTCAGATCCTAAGAATCCCAAAAGATTTGTGAATAGCCTTCTTAAAAATCAGGAATTCAGTATGTCCTTACCTTATATGTCATTATTTCTCCCCTATAAATGGTTTTTGTAATTAGTTCCAGCTTAAACGTTACTGGTAGTCAATGATCCTAAGATGAGTAAAAACGATTCACACAGGTTATAATATCTAGTGCAGTAACTATAAGTTATTGTATAGTGGCTTTTGTTTAGCCTAGGTCTTTTAAATCAAGATTGCAATTGGACCTATCGTTCTTTTTATGGACATTTTGGATCAAAAGTATCATACTGATGTATTCGTCTTTTGGTTTTTGTGTATTTCTATTGAGACTGCGGCGGTTCATCTTCCTTCTAATATGTTGCAACCAGATTCTAGCATTATTAAATAAATAAATCATTAAAAAACAAAACACCAGGACATTTTGTCAGTACATCCCATACGCTTAATATTATTTTTAACGTATTTATATACCAAATTAGTTTTACTGGTATATTTTCCATAATTTTCCTTCCATTATATAGTGTCTAGAATCGTACTCTGAATAAATTCATTGCGAATTGATTGGGTTAGATTCCTCCGACATTGGCTAATGCATCCAATCCATTTACGTTCTGGCACATTGGTAC